GCAAATAGTATATGTAATGGAATTTTAAGAGTGGATGATGTTGAAAAGTAACTAAATTGAACACAAACACGAAAATTACGGAAATGATTCACGTTTGAAAAGTAACCTATTTCTTTTTTCACTAGTCCCAAATCGTTTTATAATTTATTCCATTATTTTCAGGATTTTGATTTTCCTATAATATCAATGTTTCAATATATATGGGCGCACTACATGGTTTTGAATATCAGTTGCGAATAATTGATACTAAGAATGGCGTCTCAACTGCGTTTGATAGTTACTGTAGTATTTTGGGTATCACCTTATCTCAATCCGTCTTTTATCTTACATGTCTTAAATGGCAATAACATTTAGCAGTTTGCATCTAAGCCAGAATAATAGTCAAAATGGAAGGATTATGCCACACAACATTTGAGAAAGAACGACTAGATATCGAATGATTTCCCTACGGGATTAAGTGTTCATTTGCTCTTCTAAGAACAATATTACCCTACGATATGAACTCTTCATATGACTCATTAATTCACATCCTGCAGCATAAATTGGGATCCAATCTGTTTGTAACATTTTAGACGTGTTAAAATTAATCTTTAATTCATGAACATATATTTAATATGTACTATTATTGGCAAATTAAGGAGTCTATAGATTGCATCGTGCATTTCGATAGTTAGTATTTTCAATGCAATAATTGTAGTAAAATACGAAAAAACATTAGGTTTGTCAATAAAGTATCGTTATATGTTTACATAGTATTAGAGCAAACGGAAGAAATCGTTAACTCCCGCCACGGTTTTGTTTGATAAACTTGATAACTTATCAGACTCTTTGTGACAAATATTTACTGAGCAAAACCCTGTTTGTATGCAATATGACTAACTGTCATTACTTCCCCATTGCGCTTCAAAACATTCAATGAACCCTTTTTTCGCAAAAAACAAATGTTATATTTTTCATTGGCATTAAAACAAAAATTACATTGTTAAATTTTCAAGCATTACAAAGAAAATTTAGTTTCTTCAGGTTAAAGACAAAAAATTTAAAAGGGCCCCCTATGAACAACGACAAATACTTCCCAATTTGGAATTTTCCCCCAACTAAAAAAGGAGAGTTTCTATAATATTAAAAAAAAATTAATTTTTCTTATTAATTTTTCTTTTTTAATCTAAATGTCACCATAGTAATCAATAGCACCAGTGACCTACATAAACATTTATGAACATACTTTGGATATTATCAGCAATTTTCAATTTATAATAATGGGTGCAGTATTTTTGATGATATAGTCAGTCTGAACATTTGGAATAATCAAAAACTGTCCAATCGCTAATGAAATAAACAATATTTATAAAAATACAACTAATTTATCTCAGATTGGCAGTTAAAATGAGCGTAATATTCTTTTAATAGCAAAACTTAAACACTTTAAACTAATGATACTAATAAGGAACAATAGGTAAAACTTTGTCTTGTTTAATTTCCAGATAGCAACAAAAGCAAAGGATGACTCAGGCAATCGGCCAGTAAATATCCTTTTGGAAACTATAACAGGATACCAAAAATAAAAAGCTTTTTGAGAAATAAAAATAAATACCATATCTACTTTAACTATTTAACTGAAACAATTTTAATTGTGACAACATGCCTTTAAATTGTCAATAGTTACTGTTACTTTACAAATTGTACAAGTCCATGCTAAATAATATATTGTCCTGATTGGAAACGCTTTTCTCCTAATCAGAAGCATGAATATCGATATTTCGACACTTAATGCTTATATTGTCTGTTTAAGTCATGCCCCGGTGACAACAAAACGGCTATTTCTTGTGACTATAGGAGGCATTTACAGTCAAACATGACATCTATAACTGTAATATGATGTCGATTATCACAAGCTATTACATCGAAATTACTGTTATTATCTTTTGTTTGCACAAATTAAGGATGTTGAGATTACAAGACGAAACTACAGGACCATTGTTTTACCTATCTGAAAAAGCATGCATGTATCTACCAGAGATTGTATAACATAGTTTGCTATTCGTTTATAATAACATATATAAAGTTTATTATAGTATATCATATTATATTGGCGGCTAATAAATTACCCTTTAGAGAAACATAAATACCAAAGGCAATTTATAAATATATAGGAATATGATTTCAAATATTGTTTAATAATAATACAGTTTTATCGAACTTTTAAGAGTATGCAAATATTAATATAGAGGAAAATTTGAAAAATGTTTCCACGAGAAGAAAATGCATTTACAGCCACTCATCCATTTGTCTTTTATTGAATTATGGCACTTCATCAATTGTTAAAATTTGTTTAAAATAGTCATTGACAGGACAAATGTGTGTCCTGAGTAACGGAATCCAAAATAATTACCCCCCCCCCTTTTCTTTTATAAAATACAACATATGTTACTTTTGTGGTTGTTTTTCCCCCCAAAATGCATTCATAATTGTATGTAACTATACATTTTCCGATGTTAATTATTCTTCAGTATAGAATTGTTTTCGTTTAGTAAGATTTATAATGACTAGCTGTAAGGAGATCAATTTCTTAGAGAGAGAAAGTGTGGCTTATAAAATAAATGACATTTGCTTAATACCCAAAGTGATCAAAGAAAATGTCCCATGCGAAAATAACAAAATCTTTTCCCCCCTACATCCTTAATAAATCAGATTTTCAATAGTTAAAGTTTTACGAAGTGGTTTTTTACGGGGGATATTTTTTCAATAATCTTTGTGGTTTGTGAGAAATTTTATTTTATAGATGAAAGGGTTTGGAGTTATCAACGGGTTTTTTAACTGACAAATCGTCTGTTAAATAGAAGTGTTTTTAAAATAAAATCGTCTGCAAAAAGTTTGTTTTACAAAGGAAGAATAATTATCCCTCTGTACCTATTAAAAAAAACCCTAAAACCACGGGGCCCTTAAACATTATATACTGTAAAAGTTTCTGTTTTTGTAAACCCCGATAATTCAATAAAAAAAATACTGATATTGGCGAGTAAAAACTTAAAAAATCTGTCGTTTCATTTATATTTTACTTTTCTTAATGGCAGTGCAAATTTTTTTATAAAGAAATTTAAAATTTGCTGTAACATGTCTATATCGTTAACAAACTTGATTTTTGGGCCTAAATTTACTTAAAAATAACATTTTTGTATTTTTAAGAGTTGTACTTTTTTTTTAAATAAGATCGCTTACGACTTTAAATTAAATTCATGTTTGTTTGAAAAAGTAAACTTCAAAACCCAAATTTTAAATTTTTTTAGAGATAATTGCTGACAACTTTAAATTAAAAAATTAATTTGCTTGAAAAAAGGTTAAAGCTTCAAAACCAAATAATTAGCTTGTTGAATTTTTTTCGAAATTTATTCATTATATTGATTTTAAAAAATGGGGGCAAATTTTTTAATTTTTTGAACAAACTGCAATTACACACATAAAAATATTTTTGTACATTCAAAGTAGAAAGTTACAAATCATTCTGCGTTATGTAGGTTTAATTTAATGCTTAACTGGCCATATATGGCTTGACATATACATATATATGAATTACGAGGAATAAAAAGTTAGCCTATATACTGCAGGAGGTGCTAACAGTAAAAGCTCTTTAGGTTAATAGTTTTATACTCTATTTGGGTGTTTGTATGTGTACGTTAAAAGGAATAGAACTAAATCTAATAAAATATTTCTATAAACTAGATAAAATATAATTATAATAATGTTGCTTCATAATCTTAGTATAATATTTTTATTAAAAATTCAAACAACATTTTTGTTAACCACAGGAATGAGGTGTATAGATTTAAAACGAATGCCTTAATGTATAAAACATATATACATAAAATTTTGATATTGGAATTTTGAATTTAACTATTTTGCCTATAATATTTTGATTTACCTTTCAAAAAAGTTGGATTAAAATTTACTATTTTTCATATATTTCATTGCCAAATGCAAATGGTATTTTAATGCAAACATTATCACGCTATAAACATCGAGATCGCATCAACCAACATGAATTATATAAAGTGGATCTCGGATGGTGGTAAATAGGTTGAGCTTTTGAGGTGCCATATAATATCTAATGATGTCGACATGAAAGGAATCTAAGGCTTTATTCTCAAATCAAATACATATTTAGCCTACACACACTAAGGGTTTGACTGATTATGTATGTCATCAAATCCTGTGTTGATAAGATTTTCTCTGTTGAGTTTTAAAACTTGAATCATGTCTATAATTGTTTCATATGTCATATCATAGTTTGTGGTGTCAATTAATCATGGAGGATAAATCCTATTTCCTTTTAAACAAGATCATATAATTATATCCATATACCTTGCCTTGTTTAGTTTCTGTTGTTTTTGAGCTGTCTAATTTTTGTTCTTTACTGATAATTAGGGAATTAAGAGTTAATTTAAAAGTATTTGTTATCGAAGCTCGGGATACAGGAAATGATGTTCAGTGCCATCTGAACATTGAGCAAACGAAACTTATTCAAATTTATAGATATCACTGCTGTATACTGCTGTATACTGGTATCATTTAACAATTTTTGTGAAGTAATACAATTGAATCAAGTAAAAAGTCACAATCGTAAAAAAATGCTGGCAAAAAAATGCAGGCACCCCCCCCAAAAAAAAACACAACAAAACAACAACAACAAAACCACATTGTGGGGGATATATTGTAAACTATATGCAATTAATTGCATCGATAATCTTCAGTATTTCACCATTTGTCATTAACTAAAACATCTTTGTTAAAATCAACCGTGTTCAAATTATAATAAAATCATTAAATGAATGCTTGTTTAGTTTTCCATTTCCATTTATGCCGTAATTTGATTTTTTTTAATGTTTGATGTTAGATGGTAGTGTGGCTTCCAGTCATACTCTTAAAAGTCATGGTATCAGAATTGCATACCGCTATTTAAACTACAAAATAGAGTGTATTTGTTATGTCTTTTCTATTTTTAGCAATTTGGCCAGTTATGATCGGGGGTCAACCGCCGGAATTTGACAGTAAACCAATTAATGTAACAGCCATTAAAGGACAACCAGCGGTCTTACCGTGTACAGTAATTAACAAGAATGATTATCTGGTAAGTTCCATTTTATTTCAAAAATCCTTTCCCAGTAGAAAAATTAATGATTATACTAATATAATCGAAATATTATTGACACGATATTTTATGTCAGGTTTATATATTAAATTTGATTAAATTATATAAATCATCTATTTGCTACTCATATGTCAAAAACGTTTGCCGTACGATTGAATATAAATTTTGTATTTTATAAACAAAAAGTGTAGCTTTATTTATTGTAATTACTTCTTTTAAATTATGATTATTATGATTATTTTTCAAGTGTGTATGTGTTGGTTTGAATGTAACTTGAATATATTCTATAAAGAAAAAGGAAAAAAATTGCGTTGATAATTGGGAAAAAATTAATTAAATGGATATTAAATCATATTTTGTGACACAACGTTTCTCGTGAAGGTACATGAAGTTTCATGAAAAAAAAGCTCGTATCTTCCTTAACATAGAGAAAACTTCTTATTCTAGCCCGTTCCTTATAGTTTGTATATAACTTTAAACATTTATATACAATTCTATATTTAGATTGTCTGGATGAACCCTCGGAGGACGTTGTTAAGTTCAGATGATCGCCGAGTGATTGACGACACGAGGATGAGTATTGAACGTCCGTTCGTCCGCGACTGGAATCTACACATTCGGCATGTTCAAGTACACGATGATGGCGAATACACGTGTCAAATAAATACAGATCCAATACAAATAAAACGAATTCTACTAAAAGTTCAAGGTTACAAATTTCTTATATCTCTTTAATAAACACCACCTGTTTATCCAATGAAACACTGTGTATATGGTATTGTTATCAGTAAAGGAATATTAGGGAAATTTGGGAAGGGAAACACTTTTGGGTCTGGTTGTTATTAAATTTTAGAAAAGGGTGTATTTTTCTTTAGAGATATAAAAACTAAAAGGGAACTTTTTAATAAATTTTTGTACAAAACATTTGTAGAGTAACTTTTACTCCATTTAGAAAAAAAATTGAAAAAAAATATTTACTATTGAAAAACTAGTTTTTCATGCTTTCCTGAAAATTTACTGAAAAACAACAGTTAAATCATATTTAAAAATTTTACAGTCATTTGAAGATTCAAAAGATTTATTAAGAGGAACTGAACTAAATAGAATGCACATGGAAAGTTTATACCATAAATGAATGGGAAGTTTGGCATTGATTCCGTCGTCGACGTGCATAAACGATTAGATTATATAAACATATTTCACTGGTGTACATCAGCTATAATCATTTCACTCTAGACTACGTCATTAATTATATATATTACATCAGGACCGGGTTGTTCAAAACATTGGTTAAAATTAACCAATAGAGAGCTTATCTACTGGTTAAATCCTTAACCAGCGGCCAGCTATCCAGTGGATAAAATTTCATTGTTTGACAGTTGGATAATACCCTGGCTACCTAACCAGTGAATAATAATTTTATCCGTTGGTTATCACTAACCAATGTTTTGAACAACCTGGTGTTTAATTATTTTCGATGTTAGGTCGAACAAAAAATACTGTTTGTTATATATACATGCTAAGAGTGCCTTTACACAAAGTCAATATATACGATTATTTTCAGATACTAATTTACGATCTAAAATTATTTTTAACAGTGCCTGCAGAAATAGACAATACAAGTTCGAGCGTCGACACAACAGTCCGGGAGGGACAGACAGTTAAGCTACAGTGTGTTGCTACAGGGATACCGGAACCTTCAATCAGTTGGTACAGGAACACTTTACAGACAAATCAAGAGAAAGAACGTAAATATTTCTAAGCTATATTTGTTTACTTTATAAAAGCAACAGATAACAATTTGAGAAAACAAAACGACCACGAAGGTATACTCGTAATCGTTTGTAACTTTGTTCTCTTTTAATGGTTACTAGTATATAGGTATAGTACATGTAGTATTTTACTAAAACAGAATTAGAAAAAATATATTAATTGAAGCTGTAGAAAATAAATCATACAATCACTTTCTTGAATACAATTTTAGTATGTTGATTGATAAAATGAAATTTAGTATAAATAATAATAAATAAATAAATAAAAAAAATTCGTTTAAGTTTTAAACAGTGAATTGTCTAACTTATGTCATTGTACACGAACCAATACTGAAAAAGAAATCGAAAGCAAAACGAAATCAAAAGTGAGAATAATCAAAATAACAAATAAAAGGACTGTATATTGTCTGGTATAATGTTTTTCAATAACGTCAAGTCAATGTTAAGCTGGACGGGACGTCTCAATTGATGTCTTTCCGGGTCGTTTGATTAACTGCCGACACTGTGAGAGGTCAGACAAGTATTGGCAATTTATAACAAACCTTGATCTGGCATTGGGGGATTTTAAAAGACATTAATGACATAATCAAAATGTCTTTGACTGGTTCAAAAATTGGAATAATAAAGTTGATGAAAAAAACTCTCTTATTATGTGTTCAAGAATGGAAATTGATCTCATGTTTTAGATTGATTATATTTGAAATATTAATAATAAATGAATAAAATAAAATAAAATATAATGTTTTATAACACTTTTTACCGCCTCCGTGGTCGAGGGGTTAGAGTCGATGACTTCTAATCCAGTAACCTCTCTGGCGTGGGTTCGATCCCCGGGAGATGCTTTGGTAGTTAAGCACGGAGGAAGGTAGTCTAGTACTGGTGTAACTCTCCAGGAACGATGGCTAGGAAACTACCCGCCTATATGACTGAAATACTGTTGGGAAAAGGCGTAAAATGAAACACACACATATAACCCTTTTTACATATATTGATAATTGAACATTTAGAATTATTGTAACTATATTGAGTTTTATGGTTTGTGAACATTCACCCCTTCAATATTCATTTATCGCAAATGTTAATGACGTTCTTGAGACATGATAGTACACGTTATAGCTCTGCATTTAGACAGTTGACCTTTGCAGATATTAAATTCTCAAAACATTTTAAACAAAGATACGTCTTGTTTTATTGATATAGAAATCTGTGAAAAGTTATTTGATGTCATCTGTTATAAGTTTGTATTTTCTTATTAGTAACCTCTTTTCACCACAACATAAGAACATAAATCCAAAGATAAAAAAAAAAAAACATATAAATAGAATAATTGTTTTGAAAAATATATTGAAACATTTTCAGTAGAAGAAGGTAAATTTCACAGGGATCTTTGTGTATTTTCAGATGTTGGGCATACGGGAGAGATTCTAATTATACATAATATATCTCGATATTGTGGAGGACAATACGAATGTCAAGCCAGTAACAATATCGCTCAACCCGTGCATCGTGTGATGAATGTAGAGGTGGAATGTACGTTTATATGACAGTGTATTCACTTATTTCTTCTGTAACTAAATATTTAATTAGAGATAAAACACATTTGCGAGTCTATATATTGAAAACAACAAGAAGCTGAAACTTATAAACATTTCTTTTCGTTTTGTAAGAAAAATCTTGCGATGAGAAATAGTTTGTTTAATTTAAGCAGCACATGCAGGCATTGTCCTCTATGATCAAAAATTAAATTGTTATTAAATGAAACCAACCATAAAATGCATGTGCCATGAACCTTTCTTATGCTTGTTGAAGGTCTAAGTGACAACCAGTGTCAGTTGAAATAACAGACGAAATCAGCAATATTGTAATATTTAATCACGTACATTAAGTCTTTTTTATTTTATCATTGACAAAGCATCTATACCACGATTATTATCTTCAAATTTCAGTTCCACCGGAAGTGACGTTTAAAACTAAGAAAATCAGCCAACCAATAGGCAAGGAAGGCATGCTTGAATGTTTAATTGCTGCATTTCCACATGGTGTGGGGTCATGGAGTAAAAATGGCAAACCTGTAGGAGAAATGGCAAATGACAATAGAAAATATACAACATACGTGTATAAGGAGGACCATTTCACATATGCTATATATCTAAGTATAATCAATTTAGAGGTACATGACTTTGGATTGTACACTTGTGAGGCCTCTAATGCTTTGGGAACAGACAGTGATACTATTTTATTATCTGGTGAGAAAAAATATTGTTTTACTTCTAGCGCGTAACAGATAAAAATATACATTAAATGTTACAATGCGTTGCTTTTCAAGACACTTTTGTAACATTTTATTGAAGTCTTAAACCCTAAGATATCACGCTATATATCCAAAATGATTTGCGCTTATATTTTCACTTCGGGAAAGAATGCGGCGAAAATATTAATGATAACACTTTTCCTTGTTATTCACAGAATAATTCATAATTGTTTTTTGGTAACTCATATTAAATAAAGTAAACAGAATATCTGGTGCTCGTGAAGATCACAGATTTTTTCATATATTTTTTCATCTATTTCAGAATATTTCGAGCCTACTCCACCACCTACCACAATACCACGTGACCCTTTTCAACCATCACGGCAACCGCCATTAGTTGTAGGTGTAGGTCATCGAGATAACGATAATATACCAGACTCTGACGGTAATTTTATTATTGGTAAAATACAGACAGGTAACCCGCATAAAGCAGGTAAATTAATAAAATTTTTGAACAGCATTTTTCCAACAAATAACAATGAACATTTACACCTTATAGGAATGTAATCAGCGTTCAAACAAAAAAAATGACCTGTCTTTTTGAGTAATTGTTTCAGGTATCACGCTTTCCGATTGTTATGAAAACAACAACAACAACACCCCAAAACAACCCCCCTAAAAACAACAAAAAAAAAATAAAATAAAAGAAAACAACAACATATCATATTTCAAATAGTTAATGTAAAAGTAATGTTTAAGCGTACAGTTTAGTGACATGAAAGGCATGTAAGGCATGTACAATTAAAGTAATCTAAAAGGCATGTAAGTAAGGCATGTATAAATATTTGGAAATACTCGTATACTGTAAGGAGTTGGTTAGAAATACGATGGATGATATAAATCGCCAGTTATGGTATATGTTGCTTGAATAATACAAAATGTTGGTTGAAAATACATGTATTATACATAAAGATTGTTTTTTTTTTTTTTTGAAAATGTATTGTTAAATGCTACTTTATAAATTATTAACATAATGTTTTGTTGTTAATACATGTACTTGTTTAACATTTATTTATTGTACTCTTCAGGAATTATTGGCGTAGGAGAGGGATACAAATCATCAAGTGACTCTTCCATTATAAAGCAGACGACAACGTTATTACGAGTACAAACAGTCGTTTTTGTGACTCTTTTCATTTTACGTGAATTATTTCCCTCTTGACATGCATGTAGCTACATTAGCTACACGAAACGAGTTGACATTCCATTTAGTTGCAATAATCAAATTATATCATTCTGATCCATTGAAAGAAATGAAAGAAAGGAGATGCTGTGTAAAAAGTTGAAATTTGTAAAGAAATGGAAAAAGTTGAATATTTACACACCACATGTTATCTTCTTCAAGTGCTTCAAATTGATGTATTTGGTCACCATACTGCAATGTCCTGTTGATAGAAACACACAGAGTTTAATTTCTTTCAAATGATATTTGTTTGAAGGATTTTATAATGTGTATTTATAACTTAATCATTGACAATTTTTGTGATAATAAATGTATTCATTTTTTCTGATAAAATTGTTGTGATAGATGTAATAATAGATGTTTGTTGGAAGAAGTGAGTGTATGTACTATTATATCACCAGCTTGATTATTATGAATGTATAGACAGTGGAACCTCATTGTTCAAATTTGTTACATACTGTTTTTAAAGAACTGCCATATTTTTTTAAAAAAGAAAGGACCAATTTACTTCCGACAATTATAAAGAATGCAGCTTACAAAACATGGATTGCGCATTATTTTATTCTAATTAAAAGAAATGAAATCAGTAAGAATTTCAGAGAGTTCAATAAATTGCGACAGTAAAAGTATTTTACCGAAGGAGAAGCATAGTATTTCTTTAAATTATATTCACATGTCTTAAAAGTAATGTTTTTATAGCTGATCATGGTGTTAATATATTTGAACTCAGCCTATGTCAATTAAATATATTTATCTGCAGAAGAAAAAAACCCAAACGACAACATCTGTTTATGGATATAAAATATAAGGCATCACATTATTCAATTATTTGTTAGAACGATGAGTCTAGATCAATAAAAAAGAATGCTTTTCTCCCTCACTAGTCACATACACAGCTTTATGACCATTTCATCTTTCTGTTTTGGCATAAATTATGCTATATATTAAAAACTTTTGCATATATTATTAGAGAAATAATATAAGCATTTGAAAGAATTATTGAATGTCTGTAAGTAAACAGGTTGTATATATTTTCAATAATTATGTTGGTATATTGTATTCAATTTGGTATCAGAGACGTTTGATACTTTTTTACGTAGATACATGTAATGTGTTTATGAATTTTGATTTATAGAAATATCATTTTAGTGTGTTATTTGTTTATTATTTGATTTAAATTTTATTGTTCTTTACTAAGTATTACCTTATCACAATTTAATCGCACAAGATCAAATGAATGTATTATTGTAGGTAAGAACATTGACAAAATTCAACAAGATAATAGTGCATTATCTTATTGATATTATATAAATCTTTATAATTGTTATTGTCTAGAACAATACTGGATATATATCTAAACTCAATCTAGTCTACATATATTATATATTTCAATATTGTACAGAGTGGTTAGTAATAACCAATTTTATTTTAATGTTTTGACGAAGATATATTTATTGTAATGTATCATTTTCATAAAATGTAAATTTCTGTACACTGATTAAAAGCATTGCTATGATTGATATAGAGAGTGTTTGATTTAATACAGTATGAATGCATTGTTTGACCTGATATATAAATATGTGAATATATGATCAAATATGAATATATGTATACACTGACAGGATAATCAAAACATGTTTTAATCAATTGTGAATAAAGATAATATAAACGATTTATAATTGTAGTTTTGTTTTGACCTAAAATTGTGGTTGTCTGGTTTTGGACCAACCGAACAGATCAATCATTTAATGTATTTTTTAGACATGATTTGCAATCTATATGTAGCTTTCTATAAAATGAAATCATATATAGCAATCAGAAGCTAGGAAGCTTAAATGTATAACCGAGTGTATCATAAATATTGAATTAATGAATGGAAATACTTAGTAATTCCAAGAGACATCAAACCTGCATACCTAGAGCGGGCTTTATAAATGGTTATGCCTTGGTTGCTATTGTAACAGACATGCAACCATTGGCTTGCTTGAACAATGTGTGAAACCACTTCCTGCCTCTTATTATTACATGCCACTGTACATATTGACAAAGTAAACAATATCTTGGCAGTCATAACTTTATTTGAGAAGGACCCCGTCTAGCATTCAAATATACGAACTGAACCTCCAGACAACATTTTAATGAAATTAAAAGTTTCACTCATTACCAAATTCTGGTTAGTTCAAGGAACAAAATCGAAGGTGTTTGTGTAAGCATATAGCTTCCTACACAATCAAACTGAAATAAATTCTGTATAAACTAAAACATATGTTTCAGTCTTTCCTGAAGTAAATTTCTAATTTTGAAATATCACTCAAATCAAGAAAAAAACATGGAAATAATAATAATAATAATAATAATAATAATATAAAAATAATGGCAATAATATTAATTTTGTTAATGTCACATTGAAGAATAATTATTTCTGCCAAGTTGTAGTCCACATTTTACTCAGCAAACAATAATAATAACAATTCAAATTATTAAAGCTCTCATATTCTAAAATAGTTGCTACATGAAAAAAGTACCAAAATCACCAGGGAATTTTAGTTTGTTTGTTCATTATCATTTACTAATAACTCCTGTCTCAATACGAGATACCTGCAGATTTCTTATCGATAAAGCCATTAAAGCAATTTGCTTCCTTTCAAGATATTTGAACATTGATAGGATAAACCATTTCATATTATTCTCACACCGTCCTTATACAAGGCAACATCGTTCATTTATCAAAGCATGGCTTACCATTGTTCAAAGCTAGCGTAAATATTTGTTTTATTGATTTACTTCTTTTCTGAAAAAGATGAATTAAATGTAAAAATGCAAATGTTGCAATTATTTCGAAACAAAATTTTTACCGGAACAAAGTTTCAAAATCTTTGTTCACAGAACTTCTAGTTACGAACATACAATAAAATAGAGAAAATAAGAATCCCTTAAGAAAGCCCAATGCGGCAAAATTGAAAATATTGCAGGCTCGGTTTGACTGAGTCTGTTAATGGACAATACTGTCAAGTGCAAATTACCGTCCACGTCCCCCTAGCACACCGGCTTAAGCAGAATTCAACATTTAACATGAACGAGTACAATAATTTTGAAATTTGAAACATCCGCAGATGTGTTCATATGGCGGTCATCATGGAACACGTTAGTGCCATTCCACGAAAAGCGGCATATGGTCCCCAAGTAAAAAAATGCGTGTGCCCTAACCGAGAAAACAATTGGCAGAACTAAATGAAATGGAATTTTGAAAGGGGATCAGAGGTAATGAAGCCTGCATATCACAGATAATACGTCAAAAGTCAAATTTAAAAAGCAGGCCACATATCCTAAGGGTGATTCAACAGTATTCAAGTGAGGAGTACTGGAACCACCCAACAAGAAAATAGGCTAATAGAAAGAACTAAATTACCACAAGCACAACGATAATGTGGTGCTGAACGATTTTTAAGGATCGGAAATATAACAATCTCTGATTGAATGTACGGGCGACCTTTTACAGCCTCCACACGGCACAAACAATAACACGGATATGGTTAGATATAGCATACTGTATTAATAAAAACTTTGATATATAAATATGCTCATAACTTTACAAGTATGGTAAGGTCTTTAATTGTTATAATGACTGTAAGTGTAAATGGAAACAATTTAACAAAAATAAAATAATCATTCCCCAAAAATATATTTTATTGTGTTTTCGATTTTAACCTGCAATGACAAGAAACATGTCAAGTCTGAATAGCTTTGCTTTCATATTTTTAGATCGTCACCTTAATGATCTAGAATGACTGACAAAAGGACAATTTTTTAAAAAACGACAGGACACCAAGCAACACACTCCTAAGTATTTATGGGACATGTCTATAAACCACATTACAAGCTGTAATGGAATTCAATTTCATGAAAAAGAAAAATATTCATAACAGTGTTTTTAACATCCGGTACTTACGACCGACTGACCAATCACAGTTCTATTTTACAGATTTCGTCTTGTTTCATTGATGGTCAAACGTGTGTTATTACATGGGTGGATATAACTCAATTCTAAATTATAGCTTATGGGCTTTCTTTCAAGAACATAGTTTGCATCATTGCAAGCAGTGTGGTTATTGCTCTATTGTAATGTGATTCGGGAAATGTAAAAATTAAGAATTGGAAACTTATAGTTAAATTAATAAAAAAGACATCAACTTACTCGCATCTAGGTAAACATCACTATTTTTGTCACCAATAATAGCGACAAAACAAAGAAAACCTATACTATCTACCAGAAAACTAAACGTTGGATATGATATGTTGATATGTGTGAAAACGGACGTGTGTGTGAGATTTTGACTGTAACACGTTGAATTGTTTTGCAGATTTAAGTGTTCTTACAAGCAGAGTGTCTATAAAACAATAATTTCAAAATCTTCAAATAGATAAGTGTAACCCTTTTTAATATAATTATCAGTAATGGAAGTCTCATTTGTCACTGGTATACGAACAGTATATTATTAGTTCAATATGAAGAAAACATAATGACAAAAATAATAAATGAGAAACAATTGATTATCGTTCTATATAATGTCGGACCTACATGCCTACATGTAGAAAGTAAATAATTATTGTGCTACATAAATGACCGTTATTGACTTGAAATAACAGCATTTGACTTGGTAATGGTATTCACAGAAAGGAGACTTCCTTCGTAATCGACGATATCTATAAAATTGTTCCCGTGAACATAACGATAACCGAATCAGAGGGTGAGGGATTGATGATTCATTTCGTTAATGTTAAGAAAAAATACCATCACTTCCAACATTTATTTGACGTAAAAAACAAACAAATGATAGTAAACAGTAAACAATTATATTTTATTATAATGACTATTTTCAGCAATATCTTGCGAGACAGAAAACAACCAGATAATCTTTACTATCGTTTAGAAATATTCAACTTTAAGCAACTTTTCCTGGATTTTTATGAAAACAAAAAACAAACAAACAAACAAATAAACAAACAAACGAATCGGTAATACACAGCGTAACTTTCAAACAAATTTGCGATTACTCATAAAATACATGTTTAAACCCACTATATTCAAGAATACTTTATACCTCAAGTGCATCATATACAACTTTTTGTAGTACATGAGAGTAAAAGAACATCTCTTGACAATTAAACTAACAGCAACATATTTTTATTTCCTGAAAAAAAAATCATATTTGAAGTTGGACGTGTGGGGAACATTTAAATTGATATGGGATCGGGAACGACTTAACAACTTATTCTGATATCATCAATTTTTTCTAGAATTATAGAATATTGTCTGCCGTACTAAACGCTTTCAAATAACTTGTGAAAAAACAACAGTTTGTAATAAAACTATTTTCGGAATATTTTTTTTTCAAATATACATAAAGAGGATATTATATGAGGGTATTCATTACCGAATTTATTGAACGAGTTTTAAAGTCCTTAAACTTCCCGAACACCCCTCCTATTAATCGCATACACAAAATAAACACTGTTTAAAGTGAAAAAGAATCATTTTTCTAGTCTAACGCTAACATTAAGCGCGTCGTTACAATATATGTTTATATAACGCAAATGACGTCACGTCAAAATATATGCACGGTCATGCAATAACATTTTTACAGAGACACAAAAGCGGCATGGGTATGCCATAATATACAACATGAAGTGGATATCAAATAATTAGAAAATAGCTATACATTATATGTATTTGCATTGATATATTAAGTTCAGTATATTTTAATTTAAACACAGTCGGATAACTTAAATCAGAAAGATAAATGTCCTGTAACGTATTACCTATAATTAAATGCAAAATTTATTTACTATTTTGCAACAAGAAGCACATGTTAGACACACGTTATCCTTTTTTTACAACAATTATTAGTGTTGTTTTATCATTTTAAAATGACTTTTGAGATGTTTATATTGCATTGCCTGTGTTCGTAATATGTCTTGTGTGAAAGAAGATTGTTCGACTATATTGTCTTTATTATTGTATGTAATCAGTTTTTTCTATTGAAATAGATTGACTTTGTCTGACTGTTCTGATAGTTTAGACTACATACATATCTGTAGTTTGCCTGGTTGTATTTACTTATAACGACTGTTAATAATACAATAATTAAATGCATTGAAAGAACTAATTGACAACATCATCAGGATTTGAAAAAGACGAAGAGCAATGTAAT